GTTACCAAGTATGTTAATCTTTATAGAAGCAGACTGTCACAGCTATCTCCACAGAGCGGTTGGTATGTTCCAACTGCTAGGATTTCAGTTAACGGTCAACTATTTAATCATGACACTCCCAGGGTTCCCTTGTTATTAACCAAAGACAAAGAATATGGACTACTTCATCCTAATTTTTTTTGTTGTTGTTCTAAATTTTTTAGTCTCTAGTTTTTTAGAAACCGTTTTATTTCTTCACCCTCTAAAACTGGTTTTCAAAAGCAATGAGGTGTGTGTGTATATGTATGTGTATGTATATGTGTGTGTTGGTGAACGAGACTATTTTTTCCTGGCTGGCTATTATCTTCCCTAGTTAAATAAGAGAGATGAGCTTGAGCTTGGCCCTTCCCAGTTCTAGAATATGGTATCTTGTGAGTCTCCTACTATTTAGAGAAATATTGTCATCTTTCTACAGTGATATTAAATTGAATTGTGAGATATCATTGAAAATCCAAGAGCCAAATAGAAAATTTGAGAGGTAGAAAGAGTACCACCAACTAGTTCTCAGCAAATATTCACACTTTCAAGTGGTTCTGTTACAAATTGAATACCTGCTCGTTGCAAATATGCATCTAGTATCTTTAAAAGTAACTTTTTACCAACGTTTTTCCTTTGTTTTATATATATATTATATGTATATATTTGTATTTAATTTTTTTCTCCCCATTAGGGAAGTTTGGTTGGTTTAGTGGATTATCCAGATGATGAAGAGGAAGATGAAGAAGAAGAAACATCTCCTAGGAAAAGACCTCGTCTTGGCTCATAAAATCTTTCCTGGTGGACCCTCAATATGTGGTCTTACTAAAATGCTGCAACTGTTAAGTGAGCTGAAAATCTGAATCAGAATGCTTTCTCACTTGAACTTTGTATACAAGGAGGAGCAAAAGACACTCAGTAAATCAGCTAGGAGAGTTTAGTTCTGTATAAAACCAGGCTTTCCAGGAACTTGATTGCTTGCTAGTAATTAAGGGGTTTGCCTTTCAGGCTGTCCAAAAAATTAAAAAAAAAAAAAAAAAAATGGTTAGTAACCAGAACCTGGAAGATAGCTTCTTGGCAAGGAAAGTCTCAGGTTTTGGGACGGTTTAGGGGAGGGAAAAGGTTGATTAAACAATATTAATGCAGGGTTGCTCCAGGGGGTATCCAATCTAGAGACAATTGTAAAACTTCAGTTGCAAACCCAATAACATTACTTGTATAATGGTGCTGGCCATGTTCTTTTAATCAGTTGCCTCTTTTTAAAAGAAATTTTTATGGAAAACAAGTTCAACTATATAAAAAATGAAGTTAGGCTGTTGGGACCATTTCGAAGGTTTGAAAAAAAATCAGTCTTAGAGGGATTTAGAGGGAAGTACACCCTGTATTACAGTGCATGTTGTTTTGTACACCAGAAATTCTCAGTATGTATTTGGATAAAAACAAGCAAACTGGATTCAAAATGGACAGTGTTGTTACGTAACTTTAAAATCAGCACTTTTAGAGAGAACAGATGCCAAGAATCAGTACAGTAGTATTCCGAAAGGATTTTCATTAGAAATTTGGCTAGTGGATAAAACAATGTCTCTAACTGCCTTACCAGTACCATATTTTGTGAAAGTGAAGTTATTTTTTGTTTTGTTAGAAAAGCCTCTCTCTAGAGCTGCAGACAAGTTTTAAAGTATAATTTATAAAGACTAACATGCAAAGAATAGTACTGGATTAAGTGGCATGTGAATATCTAAAAGCCATTTTGGACCAAGAAGTTACTTGAGTGTCAAAGTCAGCATGCATCACATGAAGTTTTTCCATAAACAAACAAGGGTGTAATATGAAAGCTGCTTTTTTTTAAATGAGTGAAAGCACATTCCATGTACGTAAATGAATTTAAAATAATAAATTGAGGCAAACAGTTAAGAGGTTTTATTTTTAGAACAGCAAGTTAACTGTAAATATTTTAATGTTAGTTTGCTCACTTATGATCTGAGATCATGCTGAAGTGAGAAAAAAATGTCCCCAAACTACAATTTAATGCATTGGGAAGAAGATAAAAAGGCTAAAAACAGTCATCCTAGCTACAATCTTTAGATCACCCTTGTAATGTGTTACGGGTCCATTTTTCCTGGAATAGCTTAAACTGAAGCAGTTTGCTCTGTTTTGGAGATTTTGTAGTTAATTTTAATTTTGGCTATTGTTTGGAAAAGATGGGCTGTCTGTGTAGATATGAAGTATAGTTTTTCCATAAAGCAGATGTTTATTTTGTATTAAAAATACCACTGTACTTGTTTTACACCATTTGTATACATGTGGTGATATTAATGCTGAACTGTAAAATTCAGGAATTAAAATGTGACCCTGTAATTCCATGATTGTTGCTTTTGTTTGGTTTATTGTAAATATAAGTTAACTACATTTTGAAATCTGTCCATTTACAATATCCCTTGGAAGTCAGTAAAAGTATCCATAGATAATTAGTATACGCCATTAAGTTGCACACCAAACTGAATGAAAGATTTCTAAGTAAGTGGCGGTCCGTTGTACTTTTTTTAAGCATCACTGTCTTTATTGGAAGTAGTAGGCCATGGGCAAATAGAATCTCTGGGCCTTGTTAGGGTAACTAAGCATCAGAATGCAGCTTTTCCTCACCTTTTGGTTAGATGTGCATAAATTGAAAAGGATCTTCCACCTCATAAAGAAGACTCAGGATATTTTAAAACAAGATCAGTAAAGTTAAATGGAATCGTTTTCTTTCAAGGAACTTTTACAAGTCCCTTCTCTCTTCTGGGTTCTCACTCAATTTTTTCTTGTAATCTCAGAAGCCCATATCTAAAACATTTCCTGTCGACTCTTGACTTTTCCTAAATAAATTTACGTTCCAGTAGGAAATGCTGTCTTTGTCTTATAAAGAGTTCTTTAATTTCCATTTCTGAAGACCTGTCATGAGTCTTAAGCATTTAAATCATTACAGGAACCTTTTCTTCTAGCAGAAATGTGAATGTTGTCTTGAATTTTGCAGGGTAACTGTTTTCATGGTACACTAGAGCATGCTTACCCACAATGATATGACAAGACTTAAAATAGCCTTTGAAAGAACACCTCTGAAGATTCCACATGTTGGCTGTTTTCTCAAATGACTACCTTCAGGCTGATCTGAGTTTTTATATCTTTAATTTATAATTATCTTCACTCAATGGAGTAAGCCACAGGCCACATTCGTGTGCCTGGGGTCCTTTTAAATTTTTATCTGTAAACTGTATCCGATACAAAGACTATTTTTAATAAAAAGTTACATGAAACAGATTTCTGTGTTTTAATCACTAGTATTCCCTTTTGTCTACCTAGTGATAAAAATGTAACAAAATTGTACTCATTTTTCTGCAGGTTGATCAGTGGTGTTTCTAAAGTTAAACTAATTTTGGTATTCATTTTAAAAGATATCATAGACTTTAGAAGATAAAATGGAATTAGAAGGTAAAATACAGAGTCACCACTAGAAAAGGGGCTGGATGTGGGAGGCCAAAAGATTTGGAATTTTCTGAAGGGAAAATTCTGCTACTCTTCAGTTATCTGAGCAAACAGACTACAGAAAACTATTCCAAGTTCTCTTCACATACAAAAGAACTATTACCCAATGGCAGTTCTCTGTGAGTGTTCCCTTTCTCGGTTGTAATGATAGCTTTCCTAGTTGTTGTTCGGTGCCATCAAGTCAGTACCGACTCATAGCGAGCTTATGCACAGCAGATCGAAACAATGCCTGATCCTGGACCAACCTGACTACTGTTGCCACGCTTGAGTCGACGGACTCAATCTTTCCTAGTATGGGTGCCTAATTCAGGATTTTTAACATCCTTTCTATTTTTCAAGGTCTGTTTGCTGTAGCCTCAAATGCTAAAATTCATATGCCCACTACCTAAGATACATATCCTGATTGGAATGCCTCATCCCTGGTTGGTGGTGTTAGTGCTAAAGAGTTGGTTCCAACTCATAGCCACCCTGTGTAGGGATTCTGAGGAGTGGCTGGTGAGCTTGAACCATCAACTTTGCAGTTCAAACTGACCTTGCAGTCAATGCATTATTAACCTGCAGTGACATGCCAGGACCCCTGGTACACACATAAAATCATTCTTGCCCACCCACCAGTCAGTCTGCTTAGCAGCCACATGTTTTCAAAATGAAAAATTTGGTAATTTCTCACTTTTCAATGACTTCTATTACCCTTACTATAAAATCTAAAATCCTAAAATTCCGTTAGGCCCTGCACATTCAGCACAAACCTAGCTTCCTTTTCACATCCCAGCTCTGCCCCCTTTATATGCTGCCTTTGCAGCTACTCAGTGTGCTTCAGTCTTCCCTGAACTGTTCCTTTTTCTTCCTTCTAAATAAGCCTTCCAATCAGCTTAATCAGTCACATTTGTTAAGTGCCATAGAGTTGATTCCGACCCATGGTGACCCTCTCTATATAGGATTTCCAAGGAGCTTGAACCACCAACCTTGCAGTTCCCATGACTTTGCAGTCTGATGCATTAGCCCACAGTGCCACACCTGTGAAGGTAGGGACTCTTAATCTACTTGATTGCAGTACCCTGAGTACCTATCACGAAGCAGGCACAGAATTAGTAAGTTTGAATGAATGAATGCCCTAGCCACTCATTTCTTTATCTTCTCTCCAGGAGGACAACAGTATTCAGAATGGGTATTAAACCTGTCAGTGTAAGGGAGCCTCAGTGACAAAGTGGTTAAGTGCTCAGCTGATAGCTGCTGTACTGGAGATAGCTGTGGCAGTCTGCTTTGGTCAAGACGAATAGCTTTGTGAACTCTGCAGCAGCTCTCTTCTTTCAGGGTTGCTATGAGTTGGAATCAACTTGAAGGCAACATTTTTAAAATGTGGTCTGTATAAACTGACTTCCCCACCATTTTCCATCTTTAATGTTTAGTAATAGTAACTGATGTTGGCATTTATAAACTCAAAAGTATTTGTTTGAAACAGGCTCAATTTAAGAGTTTAAATATTATATTTTAAAGAAAATGTGACCTCTTTTGCTTTTATTTCATAAAATTACTTATTAATAACTTCTTCTTTAAGTTTCTCTGCAAGCAGTCTCCTCTTTAATAATGTTTGCTTCTCCTCTGCTGTCATTTCTGGTTTCTCTGTCATTTCCTTTAAATTAAAAAAAAAAAAGGAAAAGATAGCTTCAGTATAAAACGGGTTTATCTATCTAAAACTCCCAATATCCTGTCTCAAATTATGAAGAACAGTATATTTTCATTCAGATGATAAGCCAGATGTAGATTAGGTTACATAAATCTCTTTGTAAAATCTCTGGAGAGGAGAGATGCTGCTCTGGGATAAAACATTTTAAGCACTTCCCAAAGGCTCAAGTGAAATAGATGACTGACAAGGAGCATTCTGAGCAGGGTAAGAGTTGGTGAAACTGCTGTCATGTCTGCCTCACAGAAATCGGAACATCCGTTGTCTGTTTAGAAAAGCTGTTGGCACTTAGCAGGGTGGTTATGAATAAGTCTATCCATTACTGAGACTTTTTTTGCACATATTCTGATTTTGAAATTTGCAAATTTTGAACATTCTGTAAGGCAAGTCATACCTCTACCTCCCCAGCAGGTTTTCCTGTTTGCTCAGTATTTATCTGCTTAGTCCTTATATCCTTTCTCATAGACATTAACTTGTCTCGCTTCTGCTTGAGGTAGTGTTCTCGTTGCCGCAGCTCTTCTGTTCCAAGTGCTGATAAATTCTGTATCAGATAAAAGAATGAAGTATCTAAATGTACTACATGTGTGGCACAAGCACCCTCTAATTGATTTAATTACCTTGTCATTTTGCTCAGAATTCCTAAGTGACACCTTACTTACCGCTATTGGTCCTTCCATGCTTGCATGTTCTAAGCCAGGCATCTTCGGGCTTTTTCGTGGGAGGGAAGAAGATTCAGGCAACACTTCCAGCTTTCTTGCTAAGGGTTGTACTGACTGATGAGCAAAATGTGCTTTCACTTCTGGTAGCAATTAGATAATGAGACCAATTAATAAAGGTTAAGATAGTAAACAGTAGGCTAGGTTCATCAGAATGAGCTAATGTTCATCTTTGTTCCTTCTGATATTCATCCAGTTAACATGTACTAAGTGTCTTCACTGCCAGGCATTGGAGAGAAGGGTAAGCATAGTCTCTGCCCTCAAGGAGCTTGACTACTACCCAATATTTCTAAATGGTTTGGTTTCTTATGATCAATAACTCAATGAATACTGAGTTCCTACTATTTAAGCACTGGAATGCTAACTGTAGGGCCAGTTGTTCAAACCCACCAGCCACTCCTTGAAAACCCTATTATACAGGGGACAGACTCGCCAGCACTTAACAACAAAGTTACAAAAAGATTCTAATCTTATAATAGGATTGTAAAATGTAATACAAGCTACCCTGTAAACAATACACTAATTTCTCACTGTAAAGTAGCTGGCTTCAAAACTTTGCTTGCAGGTAAAAATAAAAATAATCTTAGATTTCCAAAGCAATGTAAAGTTATAATCTGTTGAAAGAATATAAACACGAATACTGTCAGCTTTTGCATGGATGCACAGTTAACATCTGAGCTCAGTATTTCCCAGCAATGTGGTGACTATGCCAAGACAGGTGACTAACATTTGAACTGCTTGTTTGAGCCATTTTTTTCCATTATGAGATGATGTAATTTTTTTTTAAAGATAAAACCTTTTCAGTGTAATCATAGGAGCTCTGAAAGAAAGCAGAATGAGACAAGCAAAGACCTATATAGAAACAATGCTACGTACTTAAAGCATGGTCGCTATGAGTCGGAATCGACCCCACAGCACATAACAACAACAAAGTCAGCTCAAGCTGGCTTCACTAGAAAATTCTTCCAAACATGTAAGGAATTGTTATTGTTAAGTGCCGTCGAGTCGTTTCCTACCCACAGCGATCCTGTACAGGGTTTCTGAGGCTGTAAATCTTTACAGGAGCAGAAAGCCTCCTCTTTCTCCCACGGTACAGCTGGTAGTTTCGAACTGCTGACCCTGAGGTTCACAGCCCGATCTGCTACCAGAGCTCCTTGGTAGGACACAGTTGTTATTAAGTGCTGTGGAGTCAGCCCCGACTCATAGCGACCCTCTCAGAGAGCTTCTTGGTAGAACACAGTACACATCTCTAAAAGTCTCTCAAATTCTTGTGGCAACAAAACTGAAAGAGAACTTAGAATGAGTATGAAATGTGACAAGGACCACTACTGTAGCATGGGGTGATTAGCCCCACTATAGTGCCAGGGAGGCTGGATTATTATAGACTCCCTCTACAGGGCCTTGGATAGTAAAAGAAGTCTGCATGGAAGAGATGAGGCCTGGAGCTTGCTCTCCAAATCAACCCAGGCAGGGAGCTTTAAAGCTAACACAGACATAAAGATGAGTTTAAACAAGTTTGGTCTTCATATACAGACAGATCAAACTTTGGTTATTCCTACAGATGGTGACTAGTAGTTGTAGGTTTAGCCCCCAAATATGAAACCACGAAGTTGAAGACGGGTTGGTACAATTCACATCTACACAGAGGAGTACACAGCGTTTATATCCAACTCGTGTACTTGCTCTGAACAGTTCTTTCCTTGTGTTGGTTTGATGTAAATATTTTTATATACAGTACTCTAACTCAGACCTTGGGAGAAACTTAAAGCCGAAATATTCAGCCACACTAATTTCTAGAAAAGGAGCATCAGAATGCCAGCAAGTCTAAAGAAAGATCATCACAGCTCTGGCAATTTGCTGCATGAATTTGTGAAGCTAATGCTATCCATTTTAGCAGTGTGAGAACCTGGGAGACATGAGCAAACGGAAGTGGAATATCTTTATGAGACTTTCCAAATCAAGTCTTTATAATGGCCTTCCATAACTTTATGGAAAGTAATTTCTTGGAATCTGATATGCCAATTTTTTAAAAGAATTGTTTTGGAAACTAAAATCATTACTTCTGAAATTACCTGCCATCTGCCCTGTGCTATTATATATCTAATTGAGTTACATATGTTTTGAGATCAAGTTTTCTCTAGCTTCACATAATGGCTAACTAAGGAGCCAGACAAAACAAATCTATTCAAATTATGACAAAATTTAAACAATCTATGAGATGAGCTGTAGGATAAGCACGAGACTGCATGGTCAGTTTGAACTGCAAGATCAGAAGTTCAAACACACCAGCCACTCCTTGGAAACCCTATACAGGGTTGCAATGAGTCAGAACTAAATTGCACTTAACAACAGTGAAGCGAACACTGTGAAAAACAAATTTGGGCTACCAAGTTGAAACAAAGCTCACACAAATCTAAAGCAGGTGCTTTTGAAGATGTAATTCAAATGATGTTATCCTATTCAAAATCTGCAGAATATGGGGAAGGCAAAACAAAAGTTAAATATTTCTCCAACAAGGATTCTCATTAATTTTGGTTTCAAACAGTTTCTGACTAAACATTAAGACAAATTATCTACCTCCTATTTTCTACTTATGTTTCATTCACTAGGGAAAGTAATTACTGGTTTCATTCCAAGTTCAGCTTCACAATCAAATAACAAAGCACTGTGGACAAGGATGAGAATACCAAGGTGCCAGCACAGTACACAGGCAGGGAGCTTCTTCAAGGATTTCTGCTCACTCCTATTTTCCAAGACTCGTTTGGAAATTTGGGGATGACATCTGAGTATTTCCTACCTGCCATTCTTCAGCTAATCTCACAGAAAACTTTAAATACCATGATGGGACAGGATAGTATTTAAAGTTCTTTGTGAGTTCAACACTCCCTCCAAGGATTTAAAGTGTATCTATTGAAGGCAGAAATAGAATGCATGAAAAAGTAACACTCTACACCAATGTTTCTATACAGCTACAACTTTCTAGGTTTTTTGGTACATCTTATCACTAGTAATATGTACTACACAAAATGTTGCCTCACGTAATTTTTGCTGGTGTTCAAATATAATATTCCCACCACTCAGCTGTCAGTTTGTGGTATTGTGGTGGCTTGTGTGTTGCTGTGATTCTGGAAGCTATGCACTCATAGAAGCAGCAATCAAGAAATCAAACGACGTATTGCATTAGGCCAATCTGCACAAGACCTTTTTAAAGCATTGAAGAGCAAACATGTCAGCTTGAGGACTAAAGTGTGCCTCACCCAGGCCATGGTATTTTCAATAACCTCATATGCATGTGAAAGTTGGAGAGTGAAAACAGAAGACCATAGAAGAATTGATGCATTTGAGTTAGAGGAGAATATTTAAAGTACCATGGGCTGCCAAAAGACCCAACAGATCTGTGTTGGAAGAAGTGCAGCCAGAGTGCTCCTTGGAGGCCAGGATGGCCAAACTTCGTCTCTCATACTTCGGACATATTGTCAGGAGGGACCAGTCAGTGGAGAAGGATATCATGTTTGGTAAGGTGGAGGGTCAGAGAAAAAGAAGACCCCCAGCGAGATAGACTGGCTAAGTGGCAGCATCATTGGGCTCAAACATAGCAATGACTGTGAGGTTGGTCCAGGACCAGACAGTGTTTCATTCTCTTGTACATAAGGTCGCTATGAGTTGGTACTGACTCCATGGCACTTAACAACATGTGTTGTTAAGTGATGTCAAGTTGGCTCCTGTGCAGGGTTTCCCAAGGAGCGGCTGGTGAATTTGAACCACTGATCTCACGGTCCAGTGCATTATCCCACAGTGCCACATCAGGTCTCCATATATCATGCTGTCATCCTCCAAAACCAAAGAGAGATTGGATTTATAAAGATAGTGATGGTAAAAGTAAATAATAATGAAAACTGAAAAACAGGCTGTCAACATGTCAGAACTATTCCTCATAGCCATCAGAACGGAACCCCGTCATAGGTCAGGGATTACCTGTATTAAGATTATTAGAGAAAAGTTCAGTACGCCTCAACCTTACCCGAGGGTGGCTGTACAAAGTGTTCACCATCTCCTTGGAAGTTATTCACCTTTGTAACTTCACCAGCACGCACTGAGGGGTCTTCTGTCTTAGCCTCTGATAACTTCAGAAATCGATAATACAATAAAAAAAATTGTTTTAGATTATTTTCAACTAACTCACTACTTAGGGATCCAAAGATATTAAGTAGGTAAAGTAATAAACATGTGTCTACTAGAAAGATAATGAACAAAACGTTTTTAGACGTTGCCAGCATTACATATCTCCTACATTTCATGCAATATAGTTTTCTTTTTTTGAGAAAATAAATGGATCTAGTGGAGTCCTGTGTGGTGCTGTCAGTTAATATGCTAAACTGCAAGGTTGATTTAAACTGCAAGGTCCGTGACTCAAGCTCACCAGCCGCTCCTCGGAAACCCTATACAGGGTCCCTATGGGTCGGAACCAACTGGACGGCACTTAACAACATTTCATGGGGTAGGTAAATAGTCTGTTTCAACTCATGCAGGACTGTGGGTGACCAACCATTATAGTTAGAGCTTTAGACTCGGCTAGAATTGGCTACAAGCTACACTTCACCCCATATCATACAATATAAGTAATGTGATCTTGAACACATCCCTGGGAGACACTTTTGGAGAAATTAAATTACTGTGGCACTATAGGATAAGCACTGGATTAATAACTGCCAGTTTGGTAGTTCGCCACACCCAGCTGCTCCTTGCGATCCCTATACAGGGTCACGTAAGGGTTTGCCTACTCAACAGCACTGAACAACACCATTTCCATTTAAAATAATCTATAAAGCAGTACTTTGAAATGCCTTAAGTTAGCACAAATAGATTTAGATACATTTCTGAAATGGAGTAGTGTACTTAAACCAAAGAAATCAGTTAAATGTTGGAGAGGACTAAATAAACAGATATTAAGTCATCTTAAAAATAGAGGAAAATCACATTGTAACAGAGATTACCAGATAGTTCATGGATAGCTAAAGCAAAAGTCCCTAATACTGTATACATGGATTTTTTTATTATCCAATCTACTTTTGTGTGTCTAAAATTTTCCATAACAAAAAGCAAAGGGGAAAAAAAACATCAAATAAGTCATATGCCCATGTTGTTGCTAAGTATTGTCTAAGTCAGTTTCAACTCACAGCAACCCTATATAGGGTTTCTGAGGAGCAGCTGGTGGGCTGGAACCACCACTGTGCGGTTAGCAAGCCAGTGCTTATCTTAGAGTGCCACACCAGGACTCCAGGTGTCCCTAACATATAGTATTCAGGAAGCCTGATGTACCTACCTAATAAAGTCAATGTATAATCAAAGGTAATACTAATGACTTCTGATAATGCTTTTGAATAGGTTACTCTTCTCTTTTTATTAAAAAAAGAAAAAAATCTTTATTAACATATAAGAATTTCGTCTCCGTTTACTAAAACGAGATTTACTCAGTTGAATAAACTACTTTTTAATTCCACAATGTTCTATTCTGCTCTGCACTGGGTACCTTGGATTTTTCAAAGAAGCTGAGATGGTGAAAAAATACAAGCATATATAATATATATATACACCTACACACACACACACCATTCTGGGGGGGAATAGGAAAATTATTTTCAAATGACAAAGATGGAAAATTATTACACCTTGCTTCAAGGCAGCTTAATATATGTTTTATATTAAGTTTCCTTTCCTTTTTAGGACAATCAGGAAAATGTGGAGCAAGAGATCACTAGAAAAAGGAAAGAATAAATACTACCTTCCCTCACCTCAGTTTAATTTACCCCTAGGAAAAGTTAGGCACTTTATGGAGATAGTTCTTAAGGGAAGAAAGGGAAATGTGTTATTGAAACATTTTGTGTTAAGACGATGATGTTAAGGGATGTGGAGACATTTAGTTGCTGTTTCAAAAGGGGGTCAAGGAGAAGAGGATAGTAAAATATGATTTTTAATATTCTTTTGCTCATAAAATAAAGAGTTTTTGATAAGGAACACTCCCCCAAAGTATGTTATTGCAGTTTTTTGGAATCAATAAATTTGGTCTTTATCAAGGAATTTAAAAGGTAGGCTGCTGCATGAATGAAAACCTAAAAGGAATTATATAGAAATTAATTCTTCGTAGGTAAAATCAAATGTAAATTCCTGCCAAGAAAATATGAAAACTGAGAAGTTATGTATCATCTTAAACTTTAATAACCCAAACTAGGCATAAACTTTGTAAGAGATAACAGTAATGAAATACTTCTGATAATACTAGTATGTTTTACAGGCACCTGTTTTCTCTTCCTTTCTTCTTCCTGGTCATATTCCTCTTTTGATTTTCTGCAATATACAAATATAAGGTAGAAAAGTAATTTTTTTTTTTTAGTCAAAGAACAAATATTCTACCAGCACATATGTTAACCTAAGTTTATAATACATGCAAGGGATACTGAACACAAAGATAGAAAATTATTACAACCTTGCTTCAAGGCAGCTTCTGATCTTTTTTACCTGAGTCTTCTGAAGCTCTCTTGTATATGCATACAGATACATACCAAGGTGAAAAAGCATATATGTGGGGGTTTAAAACTCTCAGGAAAACATATTTACCTTTCCAGTCCCCTAACTGAACAGAAACCCACACTCTGGAAATCGTAAACTAAAATGTGAAGGATAAATCTTGATCTTCTTCTCTTAGTATGATCCATTTCTCCCCTCATTCTGGCTTTTCCATCGGCATCTGAGCTATCACAAAGCTGGTCTGATGTTACTGTACCCTAACAACTTTTATAAACTGCTTGCTGAGGCAATCTGATTTAGGAAAACAGTAAATCAGCTGTCATACATGTTCTGTTTGGAACTAAATCACTGACCAGCTCTTTTGTAGCTACCAACTGCACTGACCCCAAGCATGTAGTACAACTGCTCCACAAGGTAGTCCTGGTGAGGCACCAGAGGATGGGCACTTGACCTCAAGGTCGCTTTCAACCAAGAGGTCGGTGGTTCTAACTCATCAGTTGCTACTTGGAAACCCTATGAGTTGGAACTGACTCGATGGCACACAACCACCACCTTTCAGAAAGCAGGTCACTAGGCCTTACTTTTCGAGATGTCTGTGGGTAGGTTTGAACTGCCAACTTTTCTGTTAGTAGTCCAGTGCTTAACCATTTGCACTACACTTGGAGACTCCTACACCATAATCCCCTCAAAACCTCTTGGAAAATAAAATCTAAGAATACAAGGTGGGTCAGTTTTCACACCATCAAGTCAATCAAGTGATGTAACCAATCCAGTTCAAAACTCTTATCAGTTCTCTCAATTTATTACCCAATACCTTACTGCTTCCAGCCTATAATCACAAAGTACTCTGCTGCACCTGGCTCCAATCTGCCCCTGCTGTGGAAGGTAGGAGCAGGAAGTACGGGGCTGGATTCTGAAGCGGCTGCCAAGGGCCACACAATTGACTCCCCACCACAACCATGCCAATCCCCTGTAGTTAAGCACTAAGTCCTGAAGCTCTTTCCTTAGTTCCCAACTAGGCCCATCCCCTAACCATCATCCTCTCTGTTGCTTTGGAGGTGGGGAGGGGGTGGGGAGGTAGAGACTGCAGGGTGTGGATCTAGATGGTATAATTGCAAAGGAAGCGCCCACAAAGGTGACAGCCCCATTCTACAGGTGACAGACACAATGGCTAAAGGTACCCTTTTGTCTTAAACCTAGCACCTCACTAGGAGATTTATAAATTAGGCACTGCAATTCCTTCTGTTTTCCAAAACTCCCATAGGGGAGAACCCAGGGAAAAGGAAATGCCTACTGTCTTCCCCAGTTCGTAAGGGTCCCTTTAGTGACCTGCAGCTTCCACACCAGGCTGGGGCAAGGAGTTACTCCTATGGGACCAACACTTCCCACTCGCCTCTTCAGCTTCCCTGCCCTGCCCGCTTCAGCACATCAGTCTGGCAGTTGGGATGAGCATCGCCCCCAAGTTCCCCACCCCCCAATAATGAGAAACAGAGAACCCTGCTTAGTTCAGGTTCCTTACTCATCCTTTCCAGGGATCAGGATTGGTCTCATGTAACTTTTCCCTAAAGATCTAGTTTCCTGTTTCCACAATGTGAGTGGGAGGGCACCCTCGCCCAAATGGGAGGGCACCCTCGCTCACAATGTGAGTGGGAGGGCACCCTCCCCCATTTGGGCTGACCTAGTATTTTTGTTGTTGTTGTTAGGTGCCATCAAGTTGGAACCGACTCATAGCGACATCATGCACAGCAGAACAAAACATTGCCCTGTCCTGGGCCAACCTCACTAACTGCTGCCACGCTTGAGTCCATCGATGCTGCCACTTGGCCAACCCATCTCATTGGGAGTCTT